GCAGGTCACCAACAGTCAGCCAAATGACAGGGTCCGACAGTCCCCAGCTCAAGAGAAGTAAATTCCAATGGTGTGGCGAAGCAGGTCTTGAAGGAACCTCAAATTACAGTGACACAGTCCACGGTTAGGTGTCCCACAGGTAGCGTAGCTTGCAAATTGAGGCAAAGAACAAGCAAGGCAGCTAGCCGCACACTGGTCCGATGATCAAAGAGCAAGAGGCGAGAAAGGTGAGGCTCGCTGAGCCATTTATATCTCTGCTCTTCAATTAATCCCACATGTGTTTATCTGCCAGGTTGGCACAATTAACTACCTCAGTAGGAAATCAAGGGCTTATGTTCATGGTGGGAAGTCATTATGCTGTGTGATTATGTTCATGGTGGAAAACTAGGAGTGACAGGCTTATTTTCATGGTGGGAAGTCGATCAATAATGAGATTATATTCTTGGTAGGAAATCTAGGGGCAGTGGGCTGTTCTTTGTAGGAAATCTAGGGGAAATGGGATTATGTTCATGGTAAATCTAGGGATAGTGGGCATATGTATAGATTGGCAGGAAATGTAGGAGGAGAGAACCTATGTTCAAGGTATTCTAGGAGCAGTGGACTTCTGTTCATGGTGGGAATTACAGAGGCAATAATTTATCTTCATCGTGGCTAATCTATAGGCAGTGGGATTTTGTTCATGGTGGGAAATCTAGCACCAGTGGGCGGTTTCTTCATAGTAAGAAATCTAGAGAAAGATGACATGGTCATGGCAGGTATTCTAGGAGGAGTGGACTCATATTCCTGGAAGGAATTCTGGGAGCAGTTTACTTATGTTCATGGTCGGAATTTTAGGGCCAGTATCGTATGTTCTTGGCAGGAAATCTACAGGCAACGGGATTATGTTCAAGATGTGAAATCTGTAGACAGCGGGATTATGTTCAAGATAGGATATCTAGGGGCAGTGGGCTGTTGTTGGTAGAAAATTTAGGAGTATTGGGCTTATGTTCATGGTAGGACAGCTATAGGAAATGGGATGATAACATGGTAGGAAGTCTAGGGTCAGTGGTTTTATGTTCATGGTGGGGAATCTAGGCATAGTGGTGTTAAATTCATTGTAGGAAACCTACGGGCAGTGGGAGTATGTTCTGATGGGAAATGTAGGGGTAACAGGCTGTTCATGGGACGTGATCTGGGGACAGTGGGCTGATGTTCATGGCAGGCATTCTAGGAGCAGTGGACT